TTTTTTATGCCCAAACATACACACTACACACTGACTAAAATTAAAAAAGTGAAAAAGCATAATAGGACCCCTTTAACAATCACTTCAATCAACAATTTCTTTTCTTCCGTGTCAGTCGACACACGTTCGTGAGAGTACCACGATGTATACGTGCAGGCCATAAAACGTGTCAGTCTATGCAGGGTCAGAAAGCTCTCGGCTTTCATCAAAAATATCTTAATTTGTGTTCCAAAGATGAACGAAGGTCTTAAGCTGGGCTCACACTACAGGAGTTTTAAAATCCTAACCGGTTATGAAATCTGGTTGCAGCACACACATAAGGAGAATCTTTGCAGATTATCTTCCCTCAAATCTTAAACATGCACACACTACAAGATTTGAAAATCATGGCGCATCACAGAACGACATGAGGGTGAGTAATTAATGACAGAATTTTCATTTTTGGGTGAACTATCCCTTTAACATGACAATTACATTTTTATTTTATTAATTTTAACAGTCTGTTGTAAACACTGTCTACTGTAATAAACACAAAATAGATGTTGTGAGATACACTACCATTCAGTAAGATCTGAGGGAAATGAGTGCTTTTATTCAGCAAGGATGTATTAAATTTCAAATGGATCAAAAGTGACAGAAAAGACATTTATGTTACAAAAGATTTCTATTTCAAATAAATGCTGTTCTTTTGTACCATTCATCAAAGAATCCTAAAAATGTATCACATTTTATGCAAAAAATATTAAATATCACAACTGTTTTCAAAACTGTTGAACAAAACAAAAATGTCTTCTGATTAATGATGGGCTGAGAGCAGATGAGAAAAGGAAAGAACAACACAGAAAAGGTATGAAAGGAAAAGAACGTAATAGCCACACTCACGAGTAGCTGGTATGTTGCTGGCGTCTCCTGGCACTTCTCATCTTCTCAAATCTGGCTTCCATCTCTTCTAGGACCTTAGGGGTGTAACGCACCACCAGCTTCACTGAACCCTGTGCTGCCTTTAGCAGCTCTACAGCTTTTTCATGATGTTCTCCCTCCACGCTCTACACACAATGAAGAAATAAAGGACATTTTGACAGCTGTTATTCTGGCAAACCACAGCTCCTAAAATCAAGGTCATGGTCACACACGGAAATACAACATACCACTCCATTAACAGAGAGCAGCTGGTCTCCTCTCTTCAGACCACCCTGTCGGTCAGCAACACCCCCTGGGATGACCCTGGAGATGTAGATGGGAGAGTTTTGTTCTTTTCCACCCATGATGTTGAACCCAAGCCCCTCGTCTGTTTTAGGGAGTTCGACCACTCTTGGGTGTGCATGGCCTTCACTGGCTGCAAACGCTGCTACTGTGGCCTGGAAAAAGACACCCAAGAAGTGTTTGATTATATACTGAAGAATTCTCGATCAATATGGTGGCAATTTTTTGGTAAAAAGTTACCTTTGCAGTGGCTTGTGCTCGGACCTCTGGCCCACCTACAATGTCCAATGTATCATAAAGCTGCTCATAGACCTTAAAAAGGGACAGTTATTTCAAATTTTTGTAGTTTACAGTTAGTTAGTAACATTTTATAATGAATAAGATTAACAAATATTATCACATTACACAATGTTTTGCAGATCATTGATTAATATACATTCAAATACCAGAAATGTCCTGACACTTTGATTCATATTTTAAAGTGCATACATAATTCAGTTAACAAACTGCGGATGTCTTTTAAACAATAATAATGTTCATTATTGACTTCATAAGAAATGATAATGTACAATATGTTGGTCATTATTGCAAAATAAAGCCCTGTAGTATCACACAAGAACTTGCCGCTATGGGTTTATTTTGTGACAATGACTGTGTGACTGTCCATTATCTTGTTTACTACACAGCTGTTGATTACCAAATAAATAAATGGGCATGACATACTGATTTTAGTGAAAATAATTTATATTTATACTATATGAGAGGAAAGAGACTATACCTAATTATATATTTAAGCTCTCATACAAAAATCAAGAGCTGTGTAATAATGAAAGTTATTAATCCTATGTACGGTTTGTGAAGTAGAAGGAACATTTTAGTGGAAAGAATCATAATCAAAGTAGACACTGATCAAAATCTTGTCTTCCTATAATATGTTATCTCTCAGCTATGCAAAAGAGCAGGGTATCTGAAGGACATGTGAAAGCCGAATAAGTCTGACAAGAGTGTCATGTAGAAGATCTGTGCAAGTTGTAAACATACTGGACTCCTGCCATTGAAACCCATTACTACAAATCAAGGAGTGAGATATGGAGACTGAAGTGAGATGCTGTCTCAAAGAGACAAGAAAGTGAGTCATTCAGGAGGAGGAACAGTGCAGCACAATTCTGTCTACGAGAAAAGACCAAACACATGTGGAGGAGGCAAACGACAAAGTGCTGTCTTATGTGGCGACACATTTCACTTCAAACCTTCATTTTATACCAAGCTATTTATGTTCCACTAGTGTTCTGTGAAATTAGTACAAGGGGGAAAAAAGGTACAAATTAGTAAATATTTTCACATTTTTTACTTTTAAATATTTTTAAAATGAATGCAACATGTTCCAACTGAACAGTATCCAGCAAACAGTTTTAACAGAAGCAAAGTCACAATCAAGCGTCCTTATGTTCAAAGGACTGAGGCAGCCTTTACCTCTCGGATGGCAGCACAGAACTTGCTCTGTAAAACTCTCTGTAGAGCCTGGAGTTTGGGAGGAGGAAGTTCACCGCTTCTTTGAAGCCTGTCCAGCAATTCTATCACTCTGCAAACATCTGGCAGAAAATAAAACATCACAGAAACATACATTAAAAAAAAAAAAAGATGGCTGGATAGTATGGAAAGTCAACTAGTGAAAGTTTTTTTTACATTTAAGCAACATGGTTTCAAGTAATTACGCTTTCAGAGCTGTTTTATTTTTAAATACTTTCCTTGAAAAGTAGTAGACATTATGTCTAATTCAATAACGGAGTAGATCATCTGGTTTTCTCAAGCCAAATAAAAGGGACTAACGTTACGTAAATATTATCAGCACCGATGCCGATGAAGACATCTAAAGTAGGACAAAACTCAGTGCTCGTGAAGACACAAGAGCCCGTCAGTTCATTTGGTAATGCCATCCGCCAGAGTATTTCCAAACAGCACTCGCGTCTGTTGGGACATAATGAAGTAAATTACCTCTTTCCAAGCAGAGCGGCTCAGTCATCGCCGCCATGTCCAGCTCTTTCCCCGTATGATAATACGACATCAGGAAGACCGTCTGCTGCAGTGGAGCGCCGAACCGTTTTCAACCTTCTGTTTCCAGAGGTAGAAGTGTAATGTACAAGATATTGTTTTGAAGAGGACAGAGAGGGTTTTCAATTGTAAAAATCAATCGTCTTCAGCAGGTTCGCAGTGAAAGAGCAGCTGCGGTGGCGAGATGCGCGAGGAGCCGCTTACTGAATGACGCAATACAGTACGTCAGAGGCGCGAGTTCAACCGAAGACCATCAGCTCGCTATTAATCGTTATTGCAACCTAGTGGCTGATCTATTATTATCGTTTATAAGGCAATACTTTAAAAATAAGTAATCAAGACGACAATAATTTGGCAATAAAAAGTGTTTATTCAAGAATGAAAAGCAGAACCAATACGATCAGTGACAAGCTCAAAAAAAAAAAAAAATTA